GGGGGGGGGGCCAAAGGGGGCTTGCGGGGGGGGGTGTTTCCCCCGTTGCCCGGCCCCCCCCCCCCCCCCCCCCCCCCCCCGCTGCACATGGAGCCTGGTCGGAGCAGCCCTGGGGTGGCAGGCTGACCCCCTCAGGTTTCCTGCAAGCCCAGGGCTGCTCTGACCACGCTCCATATGCTGGGGAAGGGTGGGTCCTGGCTGAGTCATGAGAGTGCTTCATTATGGGGCCTGCATGCTTGGGGTATCAGGGTGCTTCAGTGCCAGGCTAGCTCTCAGGCGGCCTCTGCACTGAAGCAGCGTCATGCCTCAGCCAGCCTCGTTACCATCTACATGTGTACTCAGACAATGAAAGCAGTGCCGCCACAGGGTACTACTCATGTTTAGACGTACTACCCTGCAGTGGCATTTATTAATCTACTGCAACCTAATAGGTTCGGGCATGTAGATGGTGATGTTTTGCTGTGGTGCTAATTAGTCAGCTCTGCAGTAAATGTCTTGTGTAATTGTGCCCATGATTTACAGGATAAATCTAGAATTTTCAAATAGAAATCCATAGTTATGGTTTTTCTGAGTTCTTTGCAACAGAAAAAAATGCTTTATTTCTCTGTAGTAAAAAAAAAAAGTGAGTGAAAACTAAGAGCTAGCATTTTTTGAGGGGTGCATAAAGTCTATCCAGGGTGCCTCGTGTCTAAATAGGTTGAGAACCAATGCTCTGTATGTTATTTTCTGAAGAGATAAGCTCTTATTGCTATGGTAAGAAGATATAAAATCTAGAGCACCTATCAGAATAGCTTCTATGTAGGAATTACTTTTGAGTGAGGGTTTGTCTTCCCTTGCCTTTCAGGAGAAAATGGTCTTGACTCTCAAACCAGCTTGCAAGGGCCAACTCAGCTACACATCTAAGAATCAAAAATGAAATTAAAAAATGAAAATGAAATATGAACCAAAACAAAGCAAAGACTTTCTGCGACACAAGCTGACTGTAGTTCCTGTTTACTCTCTTATCTTATGGACCATGGGAAACTGGAACTGAGAAATCTTCCCTTGTCTGGGCCCTTTGAAAGAGCATATTATTTGTTCAGTGGCTCCAAGGAACAGAGCCAGGAAGGGGAATGAAGGGATAATAATTGCCTGCACACATAAGCATCGGGGATTTCAATAAATCCATCTGTCTCTGGATTGGCATTTGTTGGGCATTGTACATAAGCTGGAAACATACTATTTTATTTTTATTAAAGCTTCTTCCTATGTAACAGTTCTAAAGGACAACAGTTAAATCCTTTGTTTTATTGTGGTATACCGTGTGCGCGCCAATATTTTGATTCATGGTAAATTTCAACAGTGATTGTCCCTGGGATTTTTTATTTCCTTACTGGTTTAAAACTTTATGAAGTATTATTTTTTTCAGAACCAGATATTGTTTCATGAAATTAGCTTGGTTTCCAATGTGATTTATGCCTTATCTATATCTGTAGGTTGGATTTGGGTACCATTATGACTAGAAGTAGCAGAATCATGGTGTCTTCAAAATCTAACCTTAAATTATAATTAATTAGCAAACTTAAAATGTGAGGAAGTACACAAGTAGGCATTACAGTAATGATTAGGCTATAAAACCTGATTTAAACCCCAACAGCAAGTACTGAGATGTTAAAGTAGCAAATACGCTACTGAAGTAGTAAGTATAACAAGGGTCTTGGAAGCAAGATTGAGTGCTCTTTCATCTTAGATGGGCTCTGATTCCTAGGCAAAACAGCATTGCATCTGGTTTGGAAGCTTGCATGCTGAAGTTTCAAGCCTAATGTAAAGCAGTTGTTATGAATCCCTTTCAAACATGGTTATAAAATGAAAACAGACTCTTTAAATCTATCAGTGTTGTCAGGTGCTGGTATGAAGTGTGCTTCATGTTAGGATTCAGTAACACTGCACATGCATACGCGTATGCACGTGCACTTCCACCCCAGGCCGGTCCCCTCCCCCCTTCCCCCCAGTAAAGGCTACTTAAGCTTATTTCACAGCCAAGCAATAACATATTAATTCTTTATAATGTTGAACTCGGCTAGAATATAAAAGCCTCAGCTTGAAAGCATACAGCTTTATAAACAGTACCTACCACTGTGTTCACAGTAATTAGAGTACTGGCTTTGTAGTTTTTCTAATGCTGGAAAGTCCTGCAGAAAAATATCATTTGAGAGACTTTTTTTCATTGGTCAATGTAAATTTAATTTCTGATTGTCCCTTTTTTCACTTTGAGCAAACATCAATGGCATAACAATCAAACAAAGAGTACATTGATCGACAGCTTGGAGAACAGTTCAGGCTATTTTTCTTTTGAGTCTGAGCATCTGACATCACTTATTCAGAGCTTCCTGAGCTGAAGTTTGAGTGCAGGTGAACATGGAGTCAGGAAGACTTCAGGAGTTCTAAATCCCTGACCTCGGAGCTTTCATCTGAATATGTACTTGCTACTTTAGTTAAGCATAACTGCCCTGAAGCACAGCTGTGGTTTTGGGTTTGTTGGAATTTTTTTTTTGGTCTTTCTTTCTTTTCAGCCACTGACCTTTGTCTTTCCCCCTACTTCCTCCAGCATTTGAAGAGTTTGCAACATCACTTGTGAAACAAGAAATGGCCAACATGCCCCGTGGTGTGTATCATTCTGCACTGAGGAGAGGGGCCACACGCTCAGATCAAGGGAAGACTGTAGCAGGAGTTCCAAACTTCTTGTTGAAAATGTATGAGAGGAACAAGCAACCAGGTCTGAAGCCTGGCCTGGCAGGTGAGCATTGATTGTTAATGGCTAAGTCACTTCCTTGATTAATGTTTCAAAAAGTCTGGGTGCTGGTCACTAAATGTTTAAAATGTGTTAATGTCTGTGATTCAGGAAAGTTCTTAGACACATACCTAAGTTTAACCCTTTTCATGGTAGCACTTAAGCACATGCTTATGTTAGAGTTAAGCGATATGCTTAACTGGTGCCCTGAAGAAACTTTTTTTTGAATTTTAGAAAAGGATCAGTTTAAGCAAGTCACGTACTGTTACCTCTAATGCTCCCTTTACTACTTTCTCTGCTTCTTTCAATAACCCTAAGATCATTATCTTCATAAAGCTCTTAATACCAGTAGTCTGGGGGCTCTGAATCATGAAGTGATTTCAGAGCCCCTGTCCTACTTCTCAGTGTCATTCTTTGTAGGCAAGCTTTTATATGTTAGATTTTTAATTGGCTTTAGAGATATTTTCTTAAGCATTTTATTGCACTGTGTACCTCACAATTTTGCTGTATTCAGTAATATTTTCTGTTGTTGCACTTGCTTTTTTTTCTCTTTTTAAGCTGGCATGTTGTTATGTTACGATCTTCCAGTCCATATGGGCAAAGATGGCAAACCTATTAATCGATTTTTGGTCAGTAGGGGGCGCAATTTCCAGCAAATGTTAATAGCTCTCATTCATGAGGTAAGTATTCTTGGCTTTTCTTCCCTTTTCAGAAATAATGTACTGCTTTCCTCTCTGTACTCCCTAAGGAGTCACATTTGCTTATTTTAATTAGAAAATACTAGCTACAAGCTATGTAATGTTTTTAATGTACCACAATTAATTAAAGTTGCTGTGAGGGACAATTAACGTGAATAGAACATGTAAATACAACTAATAAAATGCTCACTTTGTTGAAAAGCTCCCTCAGAAGATCACTAGAGTAAATTGAAGCTGACATTCCCCCTTTGCCCTCCTCCACTCACCCAGTGGTTGTGTTAATCAGGCTACAGTGCTCTAGAATTGTGGTGTGTCTGTCTGAACAACAACTATGGGATTCTAGCATAGGGAGCAATCTCCACCTCCTCGTCAGAGTAATAACAACACAGCATATCTCTTAATTGTTTCCAACTTCCTGGAATATTATGCTGATGTGGCTGGTCCTGTGCAGTGAACTTTGCTAAACTGGAGCTGTAACATGTAAGTTTGTGTGGTTTTGGGAAAGGAACAAAATGAGTGTCCAATTAATCATTACAGAAAAAAGACCTTGTTAAAATCTTCCAGGGAATTTAGAATTATGGTATTATGCTTGATATAAAAACTGCAGAGGCCATTAAAAAAAAATAAGTAGTTAAGACAGGATCTGGGGAAATGAATGTGCCTTTCCCATTTTTATGCCAGCATGAGCATTTATAAAACCTAGTGCAAATGATAGTCTCTCTTGCACAGTTAATAAAAAAGAAGAGTTAATGTGACCTGTTTGTTACTGCTGAGGTTTATTATGTGCATCTCAGTGAAGACTGTGTTCCCAGGTTGTAAATGAGAACGTCAACATTTATATAGGCTTATCCTGGCATGTGTGAGATGGACAAAGTAGCATAGATGAGGATAGAAATGCCTTGTATAGAAAATTGAAATCTTTTTCCACGCCTAGAATAATCCCTGTAGGAATAACAATAAAATGTCCAGTTATCTTTATTTTAAGACTGCTGTCAGGACAGTGCCAGCTATTCTTTATTTGTGCAACAGCAAAATAAAGGTTTAGATGTCGGGTGACTGTATAGGACAATATGAAATCTGTGACCCCACCCAAGGCCTCCCTTACTCACCCATCCAAGGATTCAAAGGCCAGTTAATGACCCATTGTTCTTTTGTTAACAATCACCTGTTTAAGTAACAATTAGTATTAATGTTCATGCCACTAATCAAGCCTAATCTATCTTAGGGCAATATTGCGGTCTGCTAAAGCTTTCTATTTCACAGGTCACACTGCTTCACCTTCATGCCTATGCCTGGGACACTCATTTTAATTTTCACCAGCTGGCTGGGACCAACCTTCAAAGTCTGGGACTGTTCCAGTCAAACCAAGACATATGGTCACCCTACTTAAATACATGTTTGTAGGTTTGGCACAGCATGCTTATAGGCTCGGCAGTGGTACGCTGGCTAGTGCTATGGATGAAAGGGACTTGGGCGTCATGATTGACCACAAGATGAACATGAGCCTTCAATGTGATGCTGCAGCTAGTAAAGCGAGCAAAACACTGGCTTGCATCCATAGATGCTTCTCAAGCAAAACCCATTCTTCCATTGCACTTGGCCTTGGTGAGGTCACAGCTGGAGTACTGCGTCCAGTTTTGGGCTCCACAATTTAAAAAGGATGTGGAGAAGCTTGAGAGATTCCAAAGGAGAGCCATGCATATGATCAGAGGTCAGGAAAACAGACCTTACGATGATAGGCTGAGAGCTATGGGACTCTTCAGCCTGGAAAAGCGCAGGCTCAGGGGTGATCTGGTGGCCACCTATAAGTTTTCAGGGGTGACCACCAGGATCTAGGGGAACGTCTGTTCACCAGAGCACCCCAAGGGATGGCAAGATCGAACGGTCACAAACTCCTCCAGGTCCGTTTCACGTTGGACATATGGAAGAGCTTCTTTCCTGTCCGAGCCCCCAAGGTTTGGAATAGACTGCTGCTGGAGGTGGTACAAACACCTACTTTGAACACCTTTAAGAGACATTTGGATGTTTATCTTGCTGGGATCCTATGACCCCT